CCAGCGGTAAAGGATCTTGCGGGTTGTTTCTAGGTGAGATGCACACTGTGTTAGGCCTTTCGTTATATTTATCGTGGCCATCCAAATTTTCTCCGGTATTGACTGGTTTAGGTCTTTTTCCCAGGAAAGTACGAAGGGGAGAGTTTTAACCTCACGTCTAGATAACAGCAGGGCATATGTGGTGGATATGGGTTTTTTAATCTGTTTACCCGCCATGAAAAGTTTCTCAAACTCTGTTAACTCAGGGGTGGTTTGGGGCTTGAAAGTTTGTATTTTGGATTTCCACCAAGATGTTAATTGCATATATGAGTGGTACGCCGTGTTGGGTAACGTGTAGGTCTCTTTCATGTGATCAAATGTATCTAATTTCCCCTTGTTGAAGAGAGAATGTAGGTGAAGTACACCACATCTGTTCCAGACCCTGTAGTTAAAATCTGGTATTTCCCAAGCTAGAGCTTTGATAGGGGTAGAGAGGGCAATCGGATAATTGCTACATAGAAATTTACGCGATGCGTCCCATATTTTCAGCATTGCTAGGGTGGTTGGGAGTACCTGTGTTGTGTTTCCCCTGTTCTTCGGGGATAGCCATATTAATGCGTCTATTTCTTGGTTTTGTAGCCAATGTTGTTCTAGCTGCACCCATTGTGGCCTGTCCCGCTCCTGGGCGGCGGGGAAGAGGCTAGCCAGCACTGCTGCTCTGTGATACAATTGTATATTGGGTAGACTCATTCCTCCCCTGTTCCTAGGTTGGTATAGTGTGGTTATGGCTATTCTGGGTCGTTTCCCCTGCCAAATGAAAAAATTAATCTGTTTCTGAAGTGCCATGAAATAAGCCCTTGGTATTTGTAGAGTGAGTGTTCTAAACAGATATTGTAGCTTGGGCAAGATTACCATTTTGACCGCTGCTATGCGCCCCGACCATGAGATAAATTTATTTCCCCAGTTGTGAAGCAAAGCAGTGATCTCCTTGCTGAGTTTAACGTAGTTTATGTTATATAGGTTGGACAAGTTATGTGGGAGCTTTACCCCTAGGAAAGTCAGATGGTCATCCCTCCAGTCATAGGAGAATTGTTTCTTTAATGCCGACAAGTACGCACTGTCCATACCCACTCCCATGGCTTGTGTTTTGGAAAGGTTTAATTTATAATATGAACATTTGCTATATTCCTGTAATATGGCGTGGAATTTTGGCAGGGATGTGTGTGGTTCAGTGATTGTGAGCAGAACATCATCCGCGAAAAGGTTCAGTTTGTGCTCGCTATCTCCCACCCTAATCCCTTTGATCTCCTTCTCCATGCGGATAGCCTCGGCCAAGGGTTCTAGGGCCATGATATATAGGAGGGGCGATAGGGGGCACCCTTGCCTAGAGCCATTAGTAATAGTGAAGGGTGCGGATTGAAATCCCGAGGTGAAAACTCTAGCTTCGGGGTTGCTATACAGGGATTTGACTATTGAGATAAAGTGCATGGGGAAATCAAATTTGGCCAGGACCGCCCGCAAGAATGACCAATGCAGGCGGTCGAAGGCTTTTTCTGCATCAAGGGATAATAAGAGACTTTGAGGAGATTGTCTGTGCATAGTGTGTAGTAGTGCAAGGGCTTTGCGTGTTCCATCTGTCCCCTGCCTTCCATGTACGAAGCCGACTTGGTCAGAGTGGATGATGTGTGGGATTATGTTTGACATGCGGTTAGCGTATACTTTAGCAAGGATTTTAACATCAGAGTTGAGTAGCGAAATTGGTCGAAAGTTAGCACATTGGGTTGGTGGTTTTCCTGGTTTGGGTAATGTGGCCACATTAGCCGCGAGCATGTCTGCTGGGATGGATTCTAGTGTAGTGGTGGATGTGAAGAGCGACACTAACCTGGGGACCAGAGTGGAGGAGAATTTCTTATAATACAAATTTGGTAGGCCATCTGGACCTGGGGCTTTGTTATGTGGCAAGTTTTGTATTACTGTTTCCAGTTCCAATTGGGAGATGGGTTTAGATAAAGAGGATCGTTGCTCGTCTGTCAATTTGGGCAGATTAATTTTGTCCAAAAAACTAGCTATTTCCCCTTCTGTGGGTTGATGCACAGTAGGGTCATTTTTGAGGTTATAGAGTTTCCCATAAAACTCTGCAAAATGGTTACTGATGTCTTGGGGTTTGATGATTTTTTCCCCATTTCGAGAAAGGAGGTGGGATATTTTGGTGTGGGCCTGAGCGTCTCGGAGTCTACTTGCTAAAAGCGAGCCCGCTTTGTTGCCCATGCAGTATTCTCTAGTTTTCAGCCTATGTAGGGTACGTGTCGTTTTGGCTATGTTAATGTCATTCAGTTCCGATTGGAGCCGTGTTATAAGTTCCGCATCTTGTGGGTTTGGATTAACCATGTGAGCTGCGGAAGCATCTCTCAATTTCCTAAGGAGGTGTAGGGAGTTAGCCTGGGAGATCTTTTTGAGGTGCGAGGCACGCCTTATGAACAGGCCCCGTACTACAGCCTTATGGGCCCTCCATACTGTCGTGGGACTCGTTTCTGGTATGTCGTTAGTGGAGAAATAGTGTGTGAGTTCGGTTTCTATCTCTAACTTAAACTGTTCATCCTGTAAAAGCGATTCATTTAATCTCCAGGGGTTACAACCTCGGTATCTAAAATCATCTTTTAAAGTTGCTATCACAGGTGCATGGTCAGACCACAGGATATCCCCCATAACACATGATTGGATTAGGTTAAGTGAAGGGCCTGGTACGAGTAACACATCTATTCTGGAGAATGACTTGTGTGGTTTAGAGTAGTAAGAGTATCCTCTCTCTGAGGGATGGAAGGTTCGCCAGCTATCATATAAATTGAACTTGAGCAATAACTGTGTCAGGTTTTTGCAATGCGGTTTGAGGGATTTGTGTCTAGAGGCTTGTGGAGGCGTAGAAGTATCAAGAAGGGGGTCTAAGACGTGGTTTATGTCTCCACATATCACTGTGGTTCCTCTTTGTACCTTCGCCACTTTCGTGAGGATACTGAACAGAAAATTACGTTGGTTTTCATTCGGTGCATACACGTTTACTATTGTGTAGACTGCATCGTTCAATAAGCAGATAACTATCAGATACCTTCCCTTGTCATCTGAGAATCTCTGTAGCAATTCAAAGGCAACGGAGTTGTGGATGTATATGGACACTCCTCTGGATTTGGATAAGTGGGATGAATGGAACTGGTGGGGGAAGTGTTTCATGCCAAAGTGGGGCGTATTAGCCTTGGCGAAGTGGGTCTCTTGGAGACAGAGTATGTCTGCCTTCAGCTTGCGGGCCTCTTGGAGTAACATGTGCCTTTTATGGGGCATATTTAGTCCCCTCACATTGTGGGAATAGATCTTCAGAGTGAGTTGCGGGTGAGCTTGTTAGGTAAGCAAGTGAGTGCCTTATTTGGGTGCAAGTATCCCATTATACATAGGTTAAGGAGAGGATGAGATGAAGTACCTAGGTATGCCATGCTTGTGGCAAGTTTTTGGGTGCTCAGCTTTGTGCCTGGGAATATAACTGGGTAAGTAGGGGGGTGGTGGTGGGTAGGGTAACAAACATCTAACAAAAGTATATACAGATGAAACCGATCTCGGTGCAAGGCGCGCCTGTGCTGCGCCGTGGGGGGCATGGGATCGGAGTGGTGGACAATCGTGGCCTGAGCTGGCTAAATGTTAAAGTGCTGCTCAGACAACTTATAACACCAATCGACAGGGCCCCTTGTTTCAAAACCACAAGGGGTTCCAGAATGAGCACTCTTTTCTATGTAGCGGGAGTAGATGTATTGTCCCCGCAGGGTGACATTTTCTTGTAGAGAGGGGGGGGAAAATTAGTGCTGTGACCGGTGCCGCATGGGCAGACTTGACTAGTACGGTAGGAGACCAGGGATTCACTACAGTGCTTTCCGTGTGTGCATAAGGTTTAAAGTCACATTAATGCATGCGACTTGGTCTGGGAGGTTCACCTATGGAGCGGATGTCAATAGATGGCAGAATGGGTAGATAATGTGTCCGCCTCATTAGCTTGGGAGTGTGGAGGGCTTTAGTGTCTGTGTTCGGCCCTTATGTAGTTCCCACTGTAAGACACCATTCACATACAATTTCCATATCATTATTAGTGCTCGGGTTGAGCTTCGCTTCGACTCTGTTCCAACAACCCCTATTTCAAACACAACCATGCAATGTGGCGATTGTACATAAGTATATATCTTGAACACATGGGTTGCGTACCGAAGGATCAGATGGCTACTAAGTTTCATCTAACCCTGGTTGTCGGCTTAATATTGTGTATACTATATCAGATCTACAGAGACATAACTCCGCACTCCGTCCAATCCTCATGTGGGTTTACCCTGGAGCGCTGCCTAAAGCTCAGTCCATGCTTTTGGAGATTGTGTACTGGCAGAAGGCTGGTTACCAGCGTTTCGTATAGGCGGGTTAATCTAATTTACAGCTTTTCACATAAAAATCAATCAGTCTATTGTCTCATGTTCCAGCTCCCTGCTGAGGGGGGGTTGGAGGCCCCTACTTGGTGCCAAACACTAATCTAGCGTTCCCACAAAATTGCAACATGTCGTGGCTCATCACTTTAGTAATCGATGTGCCAGTCCTAGCTTAGCTATGCTTACGGGTTGTGCGTGAGTCATATGTGCCTTCCTTGATTGATGTGTGTGGTTAATAACGATGCCCACGTGTTAAACTATGTGAACCTCCTAAACACTGACGGTACAGCACCCTATACCGGCCATATTTCTATTATGCTTCTGCGGCACCTTGTCAAGCCCACATTGAGTTTTTAAGTTATATAGGGCATATGCTATACTGCTCTGCCAAACACTTATACATAACAATTACAGTACAGTTATACATGAATAATTACAGTGCATGTCATTATAGTATTGTCAGCTTATAGCATCCATCGCACGGATGCTGTTAGGTAGGATGGTTGTTAAATGGGTTGTAATTGAAATACAGTCATATACCGCCGGAGCGGGGATACTTGCGGTAAGTTGTTAGTTGGTAGTATGCCAGTCTTTCTCCACTTGGCGCGGGCCCTTGGGAGCTTGAGAGTCCCCTACCACAGGTAAGTTCCATTGTCTTAGGAGGTCCAGCCCTTCTTCCACCGTGTGGATGGTCGTGGTTGTCCCGTTTCTTGAGGCAATGAGGCGAACCGGGAAACCCCAGCGGTACAGAATGTGGTTGGCTCGGAGGGTCTCCGTTACCCGCTGGAAGGTCTTGCGTTGTCTCAGGGTGGCCGCGGAAAGGTCAGAAAACATCTTGATCGCGGCATATTCCATCGGTAAGTCTTTCGCCGTCCTGCTCCTCCGCATTAATAGATCCTTCACGTGGAAATAGTGGGCTTTCAGCAAAACATCCCTGGGTAGTGAAGCCGCTATTTGTTGGGGTTTCGGGATTCTGTGTAGGCGGTCTAATAGCAACATGTCCGTGTGGACCTCAGGGGCCAGAGCTTTGAAAAGGCCGTGCACATAGCTGGGAAGGTCTGCTTGGAGAATAGTCTCCGGTATGCCCCTCAGTCTAATGTTGCTTCTCCTTGATCTGTCCTCGAGGTCCATAATCTTGGTTTTGCAGTGCTGCAATTGGGATGAGAGGGATTTGATTTGTTCAGTCGATGCATTATGTGCGTCAATTAAGTCCTCCATTTTGGTCTCCACGTGCGTTGTGCGGGAGCCGATGTCTTGTATGTCGCGTTTTAATTCTGCAACGCTTGATTGCCAAATTGAAATTAATCGTTGCGATTGTTCTTCTAGGGCTTGTTTCAGTGTTGTTATGGTAAGCAGCCCACCATTTTGTGGTGAATCGGCTTCCGAACCAGGGCTGCTGCCTCCTGAATGTTCAGCGCCATCTTGTTGCTCCGCGGCCGCGGATTGTATAGCTAGGGCTGCCACCTTTTTTTTGCGAGAAAAAGTTGGTTTTGTCGAGCTTGTCTTGTTGTCGCCGGGATTTGGGTTGCGACATCTCGCTTTCGGCTCGAGTTACCCCGCTGGGTGCTCCCTTATTCTTAGTTTCGCCTAGCTCGTGGTGCAGAGCTAAAGACTCAAGCGGCCATCTTTCTCCGCGTCCAGCCACGCCCCCAAAATCTGGTAATTTTATTATGACACGAAGGCTCCTATTATGCTGGTTTAAAGTTGTGATACAATTGTTCCAGCAAAGTGTTCGATCGGTTTGAAGTAGAAATCACGGAAAGTGGATTCCGAAGACCAATCGGCCACTCTTAAGATATCCTACAAGCGACATCCTACAGCGCAGGCTTTTGAGGCCATGGCTCCATGAACAGAGTGTGGAGAGAACATGGAAGTATACCTGCCAATATCATAATCCATTTGACCCATCTGGATAGAGAGGGTGATGATATTGGAAGACGAGACTCTTTTGCATGATATAAGGCAGAAGAGCATGACTAATTTTGCTGACAATTGTTTGAGTGATAATGAAGAGTTGTCCGGCCATGACATTAGAAAACAGAGGACAGTGGAAACATCCCAAAGTGTAGAATAACGAGGGAGTGGTGGACGGGAGAATCATATTCCACGTAGTAAGCGGCTGACAAAGGGGAGTAATGTCCAATGGGAGTCCTACCAATGCCTTGATGTCCTTTGGAAAGCGCTGAATGGTATAGGTTAACCGTGCGGTAGGCTTTTCCTGCTTCAAAAAGTGAGGTCAGAAACTGTAGGATGGCTGTCAAAGGAGCCGATAAGGAATCCAGATTTCTTCCCACGCACCAACCATTCCATGCATTCCAAGCAGATTTATAAGTGTGTCTCGTGCCAATAATGGAATGGGTTTGGGAAAATGGCCTGGATGGAAGCTGTCAGGAGTCCGATGACTCGTGCCAAGTGTTTGAGAGAGAATTGGGGAACTGCCAGTGTACATCTGATTTCTTTTTTGATGTTCAGTAGCCGGTGTCAGGATAGATTTATAAGGAAGCCTAAGTTTAGCAACAGCGTCAGAGTCCATGCGAGATGTGGAGAAGGCTGGTAGACTGGGCTAGCAGGAGGATATCGTCCAGGTAGATGATAAGCCGCACTCCTCCGAAGTAGAGTAATCACGGGTTTCATAACTTTTGTGAAACACCATGGGGCTGATGACAGTCCAAATGGGAGGCATGTAAACCTCCATTTCCTTCCTTCCCACGTGAAGTGGGTTGTAGGAGGTCACGCAGGCAATGTATGCCTTCCATTTTGAAGTGGTGATAGGCCACGTAAGCGTTCAACTGTTTCAAATTTATGACTGGCCTCATTCCTCCGCCTTTCTTGGATACCAGGAAGAGATTGCTGACGTACCCCGGAGTATTGAATGGGATCTCTGTGATGGCTTGTTTGCGCATCAGATCGTGGATTTCCTTTTCTTGTTGGGAAAAAACAATCTCTCTGGGTAGGGAGAGTTGAGTCGGGTGTGATACAAAATCTATGCAGTACCCTGTTACAGCCTGCAGAACCCAAGCATCTGATGTCAGATGCGACCACAAATGGGGAAAAAGTCTGTGTCTGCCCCCCACAACCTGAAAGGAGAAAGGGGAATAATAGACACTTACCATAAGGTCGTCTTCCAGAAGGAGCTCCTCGGATGCCCCTAGTGACCGAGGGTCTGCCCCTTTGGGGGAAGAAAGCTGGTGTGGCCCTCTGTTCATGGAATCCAGCTCTTCCAGTATAGGAACCTCGGTTCTGTCTGTAGGAACCTCTCTGAATACAGCCGGACAGACAACTCCTACCCCTTCCGGCCCTGGCAAAAACCTTTTGGTGGAACATCTTGCGCATATTATTTGTGCCTTATCTAGGCCGTAAAGGTATGTACAAAAGACCCTAATTCCTTTAAAAAGGAATCACCATATAAAAGCCCTTTAGCCTGGGCAACTGGCTCATTAATTGCTAGATTAACTAGCTTAGGCTCGATTTTGAGCAGGATAGCTTTGCGGCGTTCTGTAGCCAATGCCGAATTCACATTCCCTACTAGGCAAATGATCCTTTGGATCCATCCACGGATGACATCCCTGTCTAAGTCTCGGTCATCTTCGACCGCCTCAAAATTTTTGCCGCGGTGCCCAATATATCCAGAGCCTTGTCTTGCCAATTAGTCATGGCAAAGTCGAGGCCTTTCCTCGGTTTCCACCCGATTTTCCCAAGGAATTGGGCTATTTTGGGATTCTGCCCTCAATTTATTTCTGGTAGCCTTGTCTAGGGGCTTGCGTACTCTAGAGGCGATGGATTTTGCCACATGTTCTGTCACGGTAGTTTACCCCTACATGCAAGATTTAGTTCAACAATCGACAGAGCAGATACGGCTTACCGGACCTTAGAATGGCCGGACTCGCCGTATAGCAGAGAATAGACCGAGTCAAGAACAAGCCGAGGTCAAGGGAACAAAGAGACTGCGAGAACAAAAACTAGCCAAGGTCTGGTACACAGTGGTCAGTAAGCCGGCAAACAAGACAAAATACGGATAGAGAGATAAACGGAGTCAGATACAAAGCCAAGGTCAAGCACGAAAATCACAACTGAACACAACAAGCGCTAAAGGGAACTGAAACAGAAACCACGATAGGGCAGGGAGTTAAGGGAGAGGTAAGTGTAAATACCCTAAACTTTACTTTGATTGGCCCCTATCATATCCACGCCCCCAAAATGTGAGTGTCTGTGGAATGTGGGATGACAGGGGCCAATGGGAGCACATTTCATCTTTTGGCTCCCACTGCCCCTTTAAGAGCGTGCCCGAGACACGCGGCATGCTCTTAGAGCTAGGCGGGACACGTGACCGCATCTCGCGGTCCGTGCCCGCCTTCAGTTGAGAGTCGCGCACGGCGGGAAGTGAGGACCTCGGCCGGCCCCCGGGTAAGGTAAGTACTGCTACATGTTCCGAGGGACACCATTCCGCTGAATGCGCGTGTCTGAGATCCTCAGGATTGAACAGGGGTACCCCCTTAGGATCTAAAATCCTAGAGTCCTCACTAGACCTCGACAGACTTACCTGGGCCCCTGACAGTGTCACGGGGAAGGTGCCGAAGGAGGAGGTAGAATCCTCACCTAGTGCACCGTTGGAGTTTGATTCGGACTGACTATCTAAATCGTCCTTATCGGACTCATTCATTTTCTCCTCAATGTCACTGAGTTCTGACTCAGACGAATCTAGTTGGGCTCTCGCTCTCTTCCACAGTCTAGCGGATTTTGCCCGGCTAGTGGCTCTTTTGCGCGGTGGTGGTTGTGCGCCATCTGAGACAGACGTGAGGCTGTCATTCAAAGTAATGTTGGAGGAATGTTTGGTCTTAGCTGTAGCTTTGCGACCTTGGGGGACCTTTGGTATATTAGATGCATGTTAAGACCTGCAGTGGTTATGGTACTGCAATTTTCTATTCCTTTTTCAATAGCTGAGCATAAGTGATTATAACTGCAGTTAGGAGGTAGAGGAATAGTGTAGATGAATGCAGCTTCCAAGATGATTCTCCCCAGCAAGTAGAATATTCCCCAAACATGAGCCTAGACTTCATGAAGGGTGTAACAGGAATGATTTTTATTGAGACCACACTGGCTTTTATGAGAATCCCCCTGCAAGAGGACCTCCCACAGCAAACAAAGACAATAACCAATCAACATATAGATTTACAGTAACCCCCGCCCTCTCTCTGCCCGGGAGATATTGAGATAAGTTAAGGAATAACCCAATTATCTCCAGGCAGAGGGCACACAATTTTCCCAAAAATTAGAACACCCCTTTCCACACAATGTATCCCCACAAATTATATCCCCTGATAGCCCCGATCTGGGGGACCAACATATTCAAATTTCACCCAGATCGGTTCAGGGGTTCTTAAAAAGTATGGAAGTCATAAGTTACCGACCACACACGAGGCTCCTGCCCAAAACAGTTCCACGAATTCAGCGTGTGCGGTCGGTCAATTCAGTAAAAGGCATAAAACTAAAAAAAGTCCCGAATGGATCCTCCTGGCTCATAGGAGCGATTGCTCCCCTTGTTCATATGAACCAAACTACCGAATGGTGCTCTCCTGGCTGTTTGGCAACTAAAGTAAGCAGGCGTTCGGTAGTTTCAGCGGTGGTTCAGGAGGTCGAGTGTCCGATTTGAGTTCCAGACACTCGATGACCAAGTCCCGCTGCCTCCTTTCGTGCAAACAAGATGGACGCCGTTTTCTGTTCCACGTGGCATTCAGCTATACGAACAGCGGCCGCCCAGAGAGCGCTTAATAGACGGTTCTTTTGAAGTTAATGAGCCAGGAGGGTGGTCGGTGTTCAGTAGTTTTAAACTACCGAACTAATAGATCCAACATGAA